TTGGAACTTTGTTTTTTCTGAGTGTGTTTAAGCAGGCTGAAGTTTGAATTTCTGAGAGTCGGAGTAAGAGTTGTATGCAAGAAGGCTTATCATGCTTGATGTGTTTGACAATACAGCTGTCCCCGGATGATAGCATATACCACCGACCCCGGGGGCGCCGCGATGCGCCGGAATCAAGGGGGAGGGAGGAAGTTAGGTGCTCAGATCATCGATAGTTGTTCGTCGAGCGGGGAGGGCAGTAGGAGTGAGTTGCAACGGACTTTTGTTTTTGCTTTGTGGGAGTAAAATCGTGGCAGTGGCTGCAGCCCTTTTGGACTTTGTTGGGTATTAGGAAGGTGATATTGAAACGTGGCGGGAAGGTTACCCGGATCGATTACGTTGTCGGAGTTATCCTGTTTGCGTCTTTATCTTGTTTTTTCGTAGTACGATCCTTGGGAGGGAGGGCTTTTGACCCGGTGGCCGGGTTTCCCCTTAGGTTTTTATTGATTTATTGTTTTTGCAGAAAAACCTGACTTGAGGTGGCGGAAGCGCGCAACCCACAGAAGTGGTTAGTTACTTGTGCGTAAGGAACCAGGGAGGCTGTTCGTGTGAGTGCGTATGTAGTCGGATCTGTCGAAGAGATGCCTGTTTCAGGTGCCCTGCACATATGTATGCGTTGGGTAGTACGACCGGAGAATGATTGTGCGGAGCCCACGCCAGCTGCTGTCAGCTGTTGTGCCGTGGCACTTCCTGCTCTTTCCCCCCAACCGGGTGTGAGTGATAACAAGCATCTAAACATCAAGCACTAAAGTCTCTATAAAGACAATAAGGGGGTTGACGAATATCTTCCACATTTGTAAGCTTGCCCTATAAGCTTTCGCTGTCATCTCCGTACGACATCATTAATCTGCGGCATTGTCGTACCGATGTTGCCGCTCGTACGCGTCTTCCACATTTACTGTAAAGCTTGCCACAAAAGTACATGCTCTTCGACGTTTGTATGTAGATTGCTGTCTTCTACGCGTACCTCGGGTGTAGTCTAGAGGAGTGTGCCCTCTTGTAGAGGAGGGTGCACACCCTTCAACCAAGTACCATGTTCGTCGAAGTATATCTTTCTCCAACAAAACAACAATTACAGCAGTACGGCTTCGTTCCTCTCCTTTCCAAACTCAAAACCTGCACACACACTTGCCATCGCCATGCAACCTACGAGCGCAGCGGCGACCCCCGATAGTGGTCGTCCGCGAAGCGCCCTTGTATTTTACTACAACTACTGCTGCTCCTGTAGTACTGTACCTCGTGGTATATTGTATGCTAGCCGAGATCGAGGTACAGTACTACCGAACAATATGCTGCTCCTGTAGTACTCTACCTCGTGCAAGCCAGCAAGCAGGGATCGCCAGGCGAGGGTAGACCGAACAAACCAAATGCCGACCAACGACGAACGCACCTACACGTGCAAATGTACATACGTAGAAATGTCATACCTTCCGTACGCTGCACAATGAAGCTCGTTACACTGCTTCCACTTTGCTGTACGGATGGTCGCTTTGTCCAGCGGCGGCGGCAGGCGGCAAGCGGCCGTCTACATAAGCGTTGTAGCACGGCGGTACCATCAGCAGAAGCAGGTACTTGCGGCACAAGCAAGCACCCAGCAGATGGCCGAGGAAGAAGTTCGCTTGCTTCCTTCCCCTCCACTCCTCCAACAATCCAAAGGGACCCCAGTGCGGTCGTCCTGCTACGTGTGACTGCTGTGCACATCATGCAATGCACAATGCACGCTGTGTGCGTGTGCTACAGCGGTACTGTCATGCGTTGGCCAATGAAAATAAGGCGCCCAAACCGCAAAAAAATGCTGACGGACCGTTATAGACGGCGTTGCCAGTTGAGTGCACCAGACCACGCTGTGCTGCTGCTGCTGCTGCGTATAAGGTTAGGGTTGTGCAGTATACACGCATCATCACGGGACACACGCGAGAGAATCAACCAGGCTGCGTGCTGTCAACTACTACTTATTGTTCATGCGCGTGGGGACAGTTTCCACGAGATTCCACCCTCGACATGAAGTTTTGGACTTACAATGGAAACCACGGAAATGTTCCATGGAGGGCCATGGAACTTGCCATGGAAATTGCCGTGGAAAAACCATGGAGTCCATGGTGTCCATGGACCTCCATGGAATATTCTACACAGCCCTATGGAATTCTATGGAGCTCCATGCCATTGAGTGCCATAGGACGTTCCATTGAGCTCCATGGGGCTCTCCTATGGAACTCCATGGAATTTTCCATGGAGTTCCATTGAATTGACAAAACATGTCAACGATTGCAACAACAAGTGAACTTCCACGAAACCGAAGAACCCATGTGCAGAACCCGCGAGCACAACCTCTGTCTGGAAATTGATCAGATGGACTTTGAATGAATGTGTGGCTCGGTCCCTGAATGTAAGAAGGTAATTTCGCAAATAAATCTCTAGCGTAAACTAATTATGGGAGCGGGTTCAAATCTCGGTGGAGTCACACAAGATTGCACATTTTCTCACAACACCCAAGCAATGTGGAAAAGCCATAATATCGTGTATACACAAACGTTTGACTACGCGGCCGACGAGGGAAAGGAACGTTTCAATCCATCTCGCGAATGAATACGATCAAGGCCAACAGCAGCGCCGAAGGAAGGCGGAGGGAAAAACTCCTGAGTGGCCTTCCTCCTGCGTGACCTCGGCTGGTGCGTCCAACATTGAACTTACCGAAAGATGACAGAACCGACGTCCGGAACTACTAATGGGATAATGACAACAATTGATGAACGTCATCAAACTTATTTACTTCGGTCGGTACGGTTTTTTCGTCATTTCGGGGGTCGCCATCTTCCCAAGTATTAGAGTGCAACGATGTACCGTAGTAGGCACGGTGTAATATCGTTATCTACCACGAGGTCTTTGGTCCGTCGCACAATCATCTACATAATTATAGTATTTTTATTGAAATATTTCATGGAAGTCCATGGAGTTCCATGGATTTCCATCGAGCCAGTCCATGGCCTTCCATGGACTTCCATTTCCATGGACTTCCATGAAACATTTCATGGAAGTCCGTGGAAGTCCATGCAATATTTCATCATTGAAGTCTATGAAACATTTCGTGGACGTTCTAAAACTATTCCAGTGACGCCAGCTTGGTGGATAAATGCCGACAATGAGCCTTGGCTGTGTTGGACATTGAAGTCCATGAAATGTGCGCATGGGCTTCATTGGACTTCCGAGAAACTTTTTACTTGTTTCCACGGAGCTCCATGGACTTCCATGAATCTTTTCATGAAACTCCTTTCACTTCCATAAAAATGTTCATGGAACTCCTTAGACTTCCATGGAACTCTTCATGAAGTATTTCATGGAAGTCCAAGGAGTTCCATGAAATGCCATGAAATGTTTCATGAAAGTCCAAGGAGTTTCATGAAACGTTCCATGGAGCTCCATGAACTTCCATGAAAATTCCCGCGGAAGTCCGAACGTTTTCGCTACAATTACAATCATCTGATAATTTAGACCATCAACAATTCATTCATGACACCGTCTTACGTTCTACTGTACGAAACGTCATTTATCACACCGCTTCTACGTATCATGGCATACAGCAATCAATCATGCAGCGGCATCTATTCTATCTAACGAACGAAGTAATGCGCTGCATTTCAACACGCCCCCATGACGAATGCAATCTTACGTCATTTTGAAAAACCTTATCATCGTTGTCCTAAACCATTTACAAGGAGTTAAGCCGTGGACGGTAGCTTGCTCCTAGAGGTAGATGAAGGTTTCGTCGTTGACACTCTTGTCCACGGCCACGTAGAGATGGGAGAGCTGCTTGTTATTGCGGAGAGACGATCAGCAAGGATCTGAGATGAAGTCGGGATCCAACTTCATCTCAGGGGGCACACAGAGTAGAAGATTCTAAGGGGGGAGTATGGGTACAAGAAATAGTACCTCCAGCCCATCCCACATCGTCTGAACAATATGCACCCTATTCATGCTAGCAGCCACACTCACTCCTTAACAATCTACTGCATGCACGAATTCTCTCAGTCTGTGTATGTATGTATGCATCCTCCTTGTGTGCTTCTGCATGATATACGCCCCCATCAACCAGTATACGAATGAATTTGGTGTTCCAGAATTTAGAATTCCATGACATAATCCATGGGCGTTCGTTCATGAAACATATCATGGGCGTTCATGGAACATTTCATGGATGGTCATGGGCTTTCATGATTTCATGGATGTTCATGAAATATTTGATGGGCGTCCATGGCCTTTCATGAACATCATCCATGGACGTTCATGAAATATTTCATGAAAGACCATGGACGTCCATCAAATGTGTCATGGACGTTCATGGGCGTTCATGAAATATTTCATGAACGCCCATGGGCGTCCATGAAAAGTTCTTTCATGAACGTTAATGGGCGTTCATGAAACGTTTCATGAACGTTCACGGCGTTCATGTAAGCATGTCATGAACGTCCATGATTTTTTTCCATGAAATGTTTCGTGACAAGTAGTAGTGAAGTTTTTTCATTGAATGTTTCATGACAAAAATGTCATGGGACATCCGTGGAACTTTTCACGGAATGTCGTGAAAAATGTCATGGAATTCATGGAAGGCCAAAGAAGTTTCATGGAATTCCATGGAATCCCATGGAAGTTCCATTCCATGGATTTCCATGGTCTTCCATGAAACTTGTCATGGACTTTCTTCCATGGAACCTTCCATAGAGGGCCATGGAAGTCCATGGAACGGTTCGATGGAAGTCCATGGAAGTGCAGTATATGGACTGGAAGTCCATGGACTTCCATGAAACTTTCGATGGAAAAGTACGAAAATGTACAAGCCCCTGATCGCACAACGTCAAAACCTCAAACAATTGTCACCATTCACAGACATTTATTCCGTCAAGATTTTCGCCAAAAAACACAGCCGACGAAGGGGTGCGTACTGTTGCCCGTCGAGGACGGTGGTGGAATGCTTGCATTCCGAAACATTACACGGAAACTGAAGCATACATAATGTTCATGCTGAACTCTGCGCCAGAGTGAACAAGCAAAACTTTCCCTGAAGTCATTTCGGCAGGAAAAAGCAAAACTCCACACTGCCAGGCAGGCGCACTTGACTTGACAAATGCAACCCCGCTATTCCATCGGGCATAATTGGTTGAGCAGTAGCGCGTTCCACTCTTCTACAACGCCAGTTTCCGACCAGTGCCTGCAGTCAGTAGCGTAGGAGGAGTGACAGTTGCCGCTTTCCGCTCCCGTCTGGTCCATGGTAGACGGCTGCAGCATAAGGAAGAAAATCGCAAACAACGACGGCACCGCGCACGAGTACCACCGAGTAGTGGGGCGTTCTGGTTGCCTCTCACAGTAATATTGTTCATGTAAATCAATGCCAACCACACTATAAGTAAGCGCAAAGAAAAACTATTATGTCGCCGGCCCCGGCATAAAAAGTAGGTACAATCATCCCCCTCGCAGATCGGGCGTTTCACCCTTGCATGCGGCCTGCAGCGCGTTTGTATCGTAATCTCCTTACGCCTCCCCGATAACTCGTCTACAGTCTCACGCCTCCACATTGTTGCAGACGACGGTCGGTGCCTTGTCTCACTGCAGTATCCGGTACCAAGCACGGCGCTGTGTACACATGGATGATTGATACCGGATACAGATGGCATGGATTTTTGTGGCACGCGGTGAGGCGGTAAAGCGTGCTTGGGAACAAAAAGCATGGGCCCTTCTTACCGGGGCGAGGTGGCAAGTGTGGTGTGCGGCACCCCGTGGGACGGACATGTCGTAAATGCGCAGCAGCTTCACCCTGTCCGAGAGCCCGTTCTCTCGCAGGTAGTCCTCCACCCACTGTTGGCAAACGTTACGGTTATTGTGGAGGAGAGGACATTTGGTGTTTTTGTTGTCACCGTCGCGAAACGTCGAGGATGCCAGCTATTTTCACTACAAAAACGTGGCTGCTGAACTGTTTAAAAGGCAAAGGGCGCTTGTGTCCAATCAATTTAAAATTGCCGTCGGCATCGGACGTGCATCCAGAGACTGCGTGATGAGGTCGGAATGCTTCATCACCTCCACGAGAGCGAGCGCGGTCATCATGGCTACCTCCGTACGCAACCGTTTGCGCGATCACCACGTAGGCACCCCGACAGCACTTCCGCGTGCTTTCACCGAGCGAACCGTTCGAAAATACCTTCCATCTCGAAATCGTTTCGGGCATCCTTGACAAAGAAACGCGACCTCGATCAACCGTCCCCCTTCGCGGAATTGCTCACCGCATTTCTGTCCAAAAACTTAACCGGCGTTCCAGTGCAGCAGGCGGTGTTGCCAAGGTCTAGCTCGACGAAAGCCTCGTACGTGCCGTTTTCGGCGGGGAAGTGAGTGGGTGCTATCTCCCTGCGAAACGCGGGCGGCGCACAACCGCGATGCGCCAATTGGAACAACATCGGGGGTAGAGAAACAAAAATTGTTAGCATCTTGATAACTGCCAACACAACTCGTCGCTCGTAGCGATGAGCGTTACACAAACTAGCACATGCGGAACAAGAGGTGGAGATATGAAGTTCGAAGCTATGCTGTCATGGGCTTGAGTAGTCGTTTCAAGCCGTGGCAAGCGAGTTTATCGACCACCAAATCAGCCAGTCATTCAAAGGAGCTCTTATTATGGAGCTACTACTGCATTCAGTTTTTCAGTACCAGCACACAAGGAAGACTGCTACTGAGACAATGTTCCGCACCTACAGCTTTGAAATAGCAATTCGTACCCGTTGCCGTCCCAACCATCTCAAATTCTCTGCAACTGAAGAGCCGTACAGCTCGTTCCAAAGATGGCCCGAGATCAGGTGCCGCTACCATCAAGCATGCCGTTTTGTTTCTCAAGTCAAAACCGGAAACTTCCTCCCGCTTGACCTTGAAACGCCCTGCGTTGTTGGGTACACGCGGTACCGAGCAGGAGCTGGATGGTTTGCACAGCAGACCTTCTGACCTTTGACCTTGAAAGCAGAACTCAACCGCTCATCCTGGTGTGGGCGAAGAGAACTGAGCCCCGGGTTCACTTCAACCAAGAGCACCTAGAGTAGTATTGGCAAAAAGCCTTCCCTTTTCTGCAAGAGTACAACACACGGGCGGCTCTTCCTGTGCGTACCTCCAAACGACGGTGGCGGTTTCACCGATCTCGGCCATATCATCTAGGATAGAGGACACGTCTCGCTTGAAACTCTCCTCGCCCTCAGGGGTGCTGCGGTAGTGGGCGCCGAAGTTGACCACGACGACATCGGACGCTCTCGTCTCGTTGTAATCCCTCAAGGCTCTCCTGAGCCAGTGTTGGTCGTCCGCGGCAGACGTCATGCGCACGTGCACTGACGTTGTTTGATTAGCCTTGGTCGTTTCCCCCTCCTCCCCCTCCTTTTCCCCCTCTTTCACCCCCTTTACCCG